GTGCAACCAGGCTTGCCATATCTCGAAACACCTATCCGGTGGATACTATAAGAATTCAAACGTTGCAAAGAAACCTTCTGAAGAAGAAAGAGTAAAATAAAAATTTCTGAAAAATGTAAATCTTGTCGATTCTTCTTCTTTCCATCTACCGGTTGTACTTTATGATACTTCAGGTTTTATATTATAATAAGGTGGTAACCTTGGGTGCAACAGGAATCGCAAGCTTGTTGAATGCGACGTCTTTTTCATCCTATTCATATTATTTCTGTATTCTCATCCTTTTCCCGTATCCTTGCCAGTTACGTTAACTTTAAGCCATTCGAATTTACGATCGGTTTAACTCGGAATAGTGAATCGATTTCGTGGCACGCGTAAAGAATCGTCTGCGAACGTTCCGGCGCAGAAACGATTAAAACCGCTTGAAATCAGTCGGTGACAAATGACCGGGTCGTAGAAATCGCCGCTAATTGTTGCTCTCGCAAACGGCCCAACCCTTTTCCCGTGATATTTCGACGATTAGACCGCTTTTGCGGTCGCCCCCACGAACCGGCATTCTTACTTTATTAAGCGAGAGTTATGCTTTGGGGCTCGTTCGTGATCTCGCTGTGCGGGGGATGAGCAATAACGTTCAAGAGAGGTCGAATTTAACAAGGGGGACAGAAAGTCGAACATTCCGTTCATTTGACAAAGAGATTGCGAATTCACGAGTCTCTGTGTGGATTGATAGAGAGATCTATTGAAATTTTAGTGGACTTTTATGATTATCGAGGACATCGAGAAAGAAGGATAGAAAGATAATCGAAGCGTTTAATGACTAGCCAATTGTCGAGGGCACGGATGATACGGACGCGATTTCACCCATCAATTTCCGATCTCCCCGTTGCGGACACGCGTCGGGACGCTTTCTATTCGCCCTCTCTTGTTTCGTTTCGCGAATTCAGCCCGGTCGCGGCGCGCAATTAGAAAGTCATTACAATCCGCTTGGTGTCCGTTGTACATACGTGTAGCGAAGCAGAGCACCGAGGGGCTTCGAAATCCCGCGGAGTTTCTACACCTTCTGTCGAGAGGAGGGGGGGATACTAGATGGATGTCCTGCAATCAGGTGCAGGGACCCCCAACTGCCTTTGAATTCGTCCGTGCCGGCAGCTGGCTGATATATTCTCGTTGACGCGGGCCCATCATCGTGCCCACAGGCCGCCCGCTGTTTCGTTTTCGTGTTTTCGACGACGGCGACGGTGACGCTTGAGAAAGAAGCCACTCGAACCACGCGTCCCGTGGATCTTTTCGGAAATTGACCGTGAACGATTTACGCCTGACGTAGCAAGTGACGCGTGCGATACGACCACCCCCTTGGGAAACCACCGTTAGAGCGGAATTTCTATCCTTGGGAAAACTTGCACACGCTCGGTGAAAAGAACGACAGTGCTTCTAGAGTGGTTGCATTTGTTATCTTCAACGTAGGGGTGAATATGTCAGGGGTGGCTTCTTGTGATCGAGGATAGATAGACAGAAATTTGTCGAGAGATTGAATAGAGCAGTTAAATTATTGGATAAATGTAATTTGCGTTCTGATTTAGATGATTTTATAAAATTATTTTTATTTCAATTTAATCCTCAACTACTAACGACAGTAGTATTTCTTAAAAGAAATTAAAATATACATGAAAGTACCGTCATAAGTCAAAACAGAATAGTTCTGAACGAACTCAATCGTCCTGAGCAAAACTACCTTTGCAAGAATCAAATTAACCATACTATTACTTAAAGTTATCGGATAAATCGAACAGATGACACGAGTATCTTTCACGAGGCGTGTAACGAATTGCGAGCGTGTAACTGCAGAAATAGATACGTTTCCAAGCGAAACGAGGAAGATTTACGCGGCCAATTGTTGGCCCGCTTGTCATATCGAGCGTGCGTCGAGGAAGGAAATGTAGCCGAAAGAAGTAATGGCGTCCAGACGTCTCGGGGGTTGCTCTAGCTCGCGTCGGCTAGAAACGCGAGATTTTTTTTCGGAAATTGACCGTAAACGAGCGGGTCAATTTACGCTAACCGGCGAAAGTGAAGGCTCGATTCTCGTCGATCGATTCCCGGGGACGTAGGTCGCCCTTAAAGGTTGCCAGAAAAATGGGAATTTAAACGACCTCTGCCACGCGAACCTCTCTAGAATCTTAATTGGAACCGAAGACAAAGGAGAGACGGACACAAAGAGAGAATTACATTCGACTGACGTTCAGAAAAATATATTCTTCCCTTTTGCGCAACGATCGCGTTCAATTTCCGTGTCGATTTTCATCGACGGTGTCAGAGCGCCGTTCGATTCCCGTCAATTTACATTATCATTCAAAAGTATTTTATCATTTATAAAACATATACAGTGAGAGGTAAAAATAAGTAGACACTGTTCAAAATAGAATACCTCGATTAAAATTGGACTAAATAACTTGAGGTTTTTTGAGAAGCTACAAAAGTTAATTCACTAAAATATGTATTTTTATCGGTTTAAAAAATTACAATTTGTTGAAATCGTGAAAAAAAATAATGAATGGTAAATTTTCAACCTTTTTATGTGAGTCTATAATGAAAATTTAAAATATGTCTTTCGTATATTAAGCGAATAACCTTTTGAAACATTACTATATAAAATCAATCAGAGTGTTTCGACGATACAGGAAAACCAAATTTATCATATTTTATCGAATAGAAAATTCGTTTCACCCAACGTTCGACGAAATGTAATTTCGTTCGTATAGTGTACAGCCTTTCGGTAATCGTTGAAAATTCATAAGCATCGGATGCGTGCAATTCGGCGAAGCTCGTTGAATTTCGCGTTCATTTCCAAGGAGTTAATATTCAAAATGAACGTCAACATAGGGTAGGCCAGGACTACCGTTAATCTTCGATGGCATGTGGGACCACTCACGGCATGCCGCCGGTTCGCGTTAATTATGCAAATGAATAATTAACATTTCGATTATTTCAACTACGACACTCGCAACGAGCCCAGTGAAACTCATCGATTCGAATAACTACGCTTTCCGACCACTGTCGTCACGGTTATTAATAACGAACCAGACGATAAATTACGACGCGTGCCGTTTTCGACCGACAAACCACAGAAGAGAAGAAGAGACCTCGTAAAAACTTCGTACGATGTTCGTCTGTGCTCTAATGAAGACGCCTTGCCGGTCCCGAGCGAAAGGTCGAACGTGCGCGACGTGAAACAAACAGCATGGAAGAGACATCAACGCGGACGAAATCATCAAGGTTCCAGAGAATCAAACGAGTTACGGTGTTCTAAAGGCACGCTTGATTTCGTTGAAGGAACTTTGACGAGGTACACGGGTAACAGGTACCCAAGAATATTAATCGTTACAATTTTAGCGGAGGAGAGGAAACCTTCCACGTACTTGCCGACGATTGATCAATGGGAAACGAATCGACTCGACTGCAGAAATAAACTGTTAGCCTTATGAATATATTCATACCTAGTTCATCAATATTCAAAACCTACTTTCCTGGCTGCGTTTAAATCCACTGAAATCGGATGTGACCGGCCCCGACGGATACCGACTATTCGCATCGTTTTACGAACTCGAAAATTCGCGATCAAATATTAGATCGTTACATATAAAGTGTCGGATTTCTAACAGTATTCAAAATTGAAGCCTATGTCCGTAAGAAATTTGGAGCTTTCTGATATCTGCTTATCAAAGTATCAATAATTTTCGATTTATTAAAATTATCTCACCAATCTAATAAAATGGTAAATTTAAAATGTCTAATACTATTTTTGTTTAAATGAAACTGGACTCAATTTTAATAACTAGTGAACTAGCGTATCACGCCCGGACGTGGCCAGAAACAGAGATCTCTCGATTTCCAAGATTTCTGCCTCGCGAAAGGAAACGTTCGAGGATTTTCGCGAATTCGACGTGCCGTTGGACCATTTCCAATTCCGTTCGTGGACCTTTCTCTTTCGTCTATCATTGCCTGTTGCGTCATTTCGCCAGCTAACCGAGGAACGTGAGAAGCCTATCCCAAGGGCCGTCGAAAGAACCGTTCGGGAAACAGTTCACGTCTCGATTCGGGAGATTTACCGAGGCAGCAGCAAATAGATCACTCCGCTAATGGATGGTCTCTCCTTCTCGATATTACCGTTTCCCCTCGCTGAACGAGCCGGTCCAGGAAATTAGCAAGTCTTAAGAGATCCCTCCTCCCTCTGTTAATCGTCGGGCTGATTTCTGCGGCGCATCGCTTTCGGACAATTTGCCACGACGAAAATTTCATTTGTCCCCTCGTTTCTATTCGCGTGCCAACCGGGACCCCTTCGAGGGTCTCTTCTCGCTAATCCACCTTATTCTCTTTTCCCGTCCTCCGTCGTTCCTTCGACTCGAAAGTGGAGCTCAGGGTGGATTAATCGATGTTATCCCGATCGTGCGACCGAAAACCGTGAAAATGTCACTCGACGCCGGCTCGAGCGACGCTGAACGATGAACGAAATCTGATTTCAGCCGGCGGCCGACGGCTTTCTAACAATAAGTCGGATTAAGGGAGGCTCGGCACCAACTGATCAATGATACACTCCACGATCGAGATTATATCCTCTTTCCAGCCTTTTCCACTTCCCGTTTACCGGAGTTAAGAAGATTTTAAAGAAGTTACAGAAACACGTCGGAGAATCCAGTTGAATCGATCGATTGATTTATCCTTTATAGATGCGATAAGAAACGGAGTAAGCGGATAAAGATGCACGCTATTAAAATTTTTTCTTTCTTTTTTTTTTAACTCGAAGGACTCAGAATTTTCACCAAACTTCACCCAGTATTATCACGATCAGCTATATCAGAATCACTCCGCACAATGATACCCATGGTAGCCCATCGATTCGCGGATCGAGCGTTCCGGCGCTCCGTTTCACGTGGCGTCGCTTAAATGCCCGCGGTGTCACGCGTTTCTCTCGCACAGTCGTAGATAATAAAACGATGAAATTGTCCTACCTTAACTGTCGAACCGCGTACAACAGCACCGGCGTCGATCAGGCATAGAACTCGCGCACTCCGAACAGCACGTAAGAAATCATGGATCACAGCCAGCCTTCTCTTCCCGCCTTTTCTCCGGTCTCCGTGGAGGCGCGCGTTCGAACTGCAAAACCAATGCACACCTTCGTTCGAACACCTTTTATTTATCTCGCACGTCGCACGATTAAAAAACGCACTGTATATATATATGTTGGTCTACTAAAAAACTAATTGCTGTACAAGGAAACGATCACACGCGTTCTCCAGTCACTCGAAATAAATAAAACTTAATCACTGATATTAATCCTCGCGTTAGCCTCGATCGCTACGATGGGTTGGAATAACAAGGTCCCCATTGAATACGAAACACGTTTCGCGAGCTGTACGATCGAACGTAAACAACATACCAAGCAACAACCATACCGTCACGGCGCCACGGCACAAACTGACAGGCTGACGAGAACCTCGACTTGCTCGAAGGAGAGAAGCGGCTCGGCTTAGAGGGAGGAAAAGAGAGAGGGGGGGGACCAGTTACGTGTTGCCTTCTCGCTCACTCCAAACGAAACGTTCAATCTCGCCGCGTCTCCCTTCCTCGTGTTATATTGCCACCTAGTGGCGGTCTTGCAAACTCGTTCTCGGCTACGGGCCTTCACCTCCCTCTGTCCAACACCGGAGGGGGTGAAACGAGCACGTGGGGCTGCTAAAGAGGGAGGTACGTCGCGCGCGAGCGCATAGCCTTCCCACAGATACGGACTTACTCGACTAAACCTTGTTCCTATGTTTTTCGCCCTCGAATCGCGTTCGAATGAATATATATATATTTTTTTAAGTTGCTCGATATTTATTCGAAATGAAAGGGAGGTATTTTTTAATCGTTTTGCATCATTTGAAAATGTGAGAAATGATGGAAAATAGATAAGTTTCAGGAGGGTCGTTTTTACCTCTTCTATATGAAATAGTACTGAAATTACGCGAAAAGGGGTGGTTGTTATTTGCATGATTCCTTCTTTGGCAAGGAATATTCTCTATCCCGAAAATTTCATTTCTTTTTCATCTTTACGGATTTATAAGAACCCTATAACTTGTAATTGTTATTGCCACATTAGTGAAATTAATTGAAATTTTGGGTTTTGTCCAGCTATCGTGCACTGTTTAAAAGGTCGGGGAACGGTGGGGGCGAGAGGCAAGGCCAGGTTGGGGTGAGATTGCAAAATATGTTGTAGAAATGGGGTGGCCGATGAATGCGGTCGCCCGTAGACTAGGGATTTTATTGATCTTTTTTCCACCCCACACTGTAGCAGGCGGGGGTGGGCTGGCAGCCGCGTACACGCGCGCACGCTTAATTAAGCGGCCGGACTTACGTCGCGTATACCTCCGTGTACGCTTCATCGAGCCGGTCACTACCTCTGTTTTCGACGATCGACCGAAATCCCGGTCGACGAGCCGCGATCGATTTGCGGCCAATTTTGCAACCATTGAAATTAAACGGACCACGCCGAACCGAGTCGACTAGAGTCGTCCAGGAACGTTTTCTCGATTGAATTTTGCATTGTCGCGCCTCTAGCGATACACCTGTCGGCTTTGCCTTATTCCTAGGTGCCGTTGCTTTACTTTTCACGTCTTTCACAGTGACTATGAATCGATTTACGATGCTTGTGCGAAAGGATTTAGGAGAACGAATACCCCGTATCGAAATTAAAAGAATCTCTAACGAGATATTAAAAGATTTTAATCTACTTAGGGTTGGAAAAGTTTAATGAGAGCAAAAGCATCCCTTGTTTTTCACTTAACTGCTGATTGTAAGCTTGTCAATTCTCAAAAACCTTCTTCGTTTAACCCTCGTATCGAAGGGTGGCGAAGCCATAAGGGGTCGCGAAGACTCTAACAGCTAATCTGGACGATTGAATGTAAATCATGAATAATACAGGCGAGTGAAAAGCAAAGAGGCTGACATTAGTCAGCCGATTCGAAGCGGGATTCTTAATCCAGGGACTGATCGATTCTCGAGGCGTCATCGTGCACGAGAATTTATCGTTATCGTGGTCCCGAAGGCCCATAAAATTTCGAGAATCGTGAGATATTGTGTCTTGTCACTTTCGAGCTTCGGCTCGCTCGATCGCGACTGCCTGGGCCACCGCGAACCATCCAGATTCGGATTAATGTTTATGGCGCCCTAGAGTACACCATGGAGCCCCTTCTCCTCGCGGAGGAGTATAACAAGCCGACAAGTATTAAGAATTGATAGCACCGCGATGATTCAACCTTATTACTTATCAGAGTTCTTTCGTTCTGCTCGTTACGACCGAGATAGTTGATCGTTGGTCTTTGTAAAATATTTTAAAATTAAAATTTTCCTTCTAAAACAGTTCTGCTAAAGGGTTAACACCGATTAGAAAGGAATTTACGGTAAACCAAGCTGGTTGTTCGTTGAAACTTTGCTCGAAGAAGGTTCCAATTTGCGCGACGCGACGAGTCTTAAAGCAGATTTACTCGATCCGAATGCATTACCGGCTATGGGGGTCGAGAAGCATCCCCCTAGCAAAGAGTTCGTCGCCGAGGACTAATTAGCGATTCGATCACGAGTCATCCGATGCTGGGAGACAACGTCGCGCCGCGGCGTTCGCCGGATTCCCTTTGATCGCCCTTCATCTCCGTTTCCTTCTCTTTGGTTATCCTTTCGCGAGGACTCGTTCGACGAGGTGCAAGCTATGTACGCGTGGCGCGTTCGTAACAAAGCTTCAAAGCAGAAATTAGCCACAGAATAAGCGGGAAGGTCTTTTGAAGCTGGTAATTTCCCTACTGCAAACGTCGTCGACATAGGGATACGATTGAAAAGGGACAAGGAAAGCTTCGCCGTCCCTCTTCTTCGCCCTTTCTATTCACGACAAACATGCTCGATGGAAAAATAGTCCGAAGATACAAATTAAACCTTTCATGTATGAATTCATTTTTTTTAAATAAACAAACACTTGATACTTCTATCAGAATGGAAGAATCTGTCCTTTCTCCTCAGACAAAAATCCTTATTACGTCGATGTGTAGTGGCCTTTTATCGCACCATCCACGAAGAAGAAGATCAGAGATTCTCTCAGAGAGTCCTTTCGTCTATCTCTTCCAAGGGTTTGTCTGTCGCGAACCAATCGTGGCTGAGCCACGCAAAAGGGGAAGGACATACGCCCGCAGACAAGAGATCTAATATACCCGACGGTTACATTAGCCGGATTTAATTTAAGCCTCGACCCAGCATTGCCTAGCTAGAACCTTGCGTTCGACCTACGAGAATACGGTGATTCGAGAGAAAGGAAGAGCGGAAGGTGGTACGTCGACAGACGGCCGGTGGTTGGCCTGCTGGTAGCAAGACCCTGCCGGTTTATTGTAATTGCGGTGTCGTACAAGCGAAAGAGAGAAGCTCGCTACCGTGGCTAACCGAGCGTGCTCGCTAATGCCTCGTCGTTTACCACAGGGTCGGGGACAGCTTCATTAACAGCGGGGGAAAAAAAAATCATCGCGAAGAACGTTCACCGTTTCTTCCACGCTCTGCATCTCACCTGATTCGCGTTTCGGTAAATGGGAGTAGTCGGGTCGTTCGAGAATGTCCTGTGTTTATGCTGAGAACCGTGGTGATGTTGATGCTGGTAATAAGAGAAAATTGGTAGAGAGATACGGTGATGGTTTTTAAGTATTCGGAGAGGATAGAAAATGTAAGCGTGTGATAGGGGGTAAATTGAAAATTAATTCGCGGAACATGATGGCTGTTGAATATTTAGAAAAGTAGGGCATGTATTAAAAATTAATATTTTGTATTGAAAAATGTTTAAGTATTTGGAGAAGATGCAAGAAACAGGTGTATGATAATAGGGATAATTGAAAATTAGTTTGTGTAAGAAGATGGTTTAATTAGGGCTAATTAGAAATTATTGTTCCTCGGTATTTAGAATATGATTTTTCTATTCCCATTCTAACTGAACTGTTGGACAGACAAAGCATTCGCATATCAGTAGGAAAAGCAGGAAATTCGTTAAGTGCCATGCCCGACGAGTTTATTTGCTTCACCTCGATGATTAGATAAAAACCGGTGCTATTTGCGTAATCGAATGGTCACCGAGACACAGAAATTCTAAATGGTTTCGATAATTGAAAATATCAACGTTAAGTATTATCCTGAATTAATCATTTCCCGTGTGCCATGACAATGAATGATTAGCCTTTTTTCTTCTTTCGAAAGGAAGTCGTGTTCAATTCATGGCTGACTTTGTCAACGTTCTTCCTTTTTAATAAATTGCGAACATCTCGGAATATTTGGTATTGCGAGAGGAAACGTTGGGTAAAGAAAAAGAGGAATACCGAGTGTGCTCAGTTTGGGATGTTTATGTTGGAATGATAAGAAGACGTATGTACGTAACGAAACGGATTCTTTGGCAAGCATTCAACGTATCCTAGCAAGCCAGAAAATCGTAGTTGAAATTTTGTAAAAATATATTGCATTACAAATGTTTCAAATAAATATTTCGCACCCTCCAAACTTACAAAAAAAAAAAAAGAATATCAAGAACGTCTCTGACGACAACCCTCCCATCCATCCCATTTATCCAGCAACCTAAGCTCCCTCTTATTTATGAAAAAGAATTGTTACACGTGCAAGTAACCAAAAACAAAGGGCAGGGACACGAAACAACCCCGGACCCCTGAAATCGCGCGTTTCATTGTTACTTTAGCATATTTCCCTGCTACGAATACAGCGGCGAACGTATGGCGGGAATAAAACCGCCCCGTCGACCGAACTTACCCCGCGCTAACCGTTTTCACAGTTTTATGACGTCCGTAAATCTTCGCTACCGCGTTCAACATTGGCTATCGCCGCCAGGGACCAAGTCCTGCCTCCAACATTGACAAGGTCAGTGTGTCGATGGGACGAATCGGTGTGATGGTTCATTTGAAACGCGATTAGAACTCTGGCGACAATGGAAAGTTCCAAATGGAGGGAAAGCAATTTTTTCTTACCATGTTTCTGAACGTTGGAACCGTGAAATTTCAGGGCAATAAAGCAATAAATGGAACTATGCCGACTTTAGGGTTGCTTCAGTGAAGAAAAAGAAAATTCTTCGCTCTCTTTATTCAGGATACTATGAATTTTTCATCAGTAGACTGCAGGAAGAAATATTAGTTACAATTTTGTGGTTTTCCTTAAAAAATCTTTTCATCCCTCACGTTATTCTCTCAAAACTTTCTCTATGGACAGATCTCGTTTGATAATCCAGCTGATTTTTTTTTACAACTCCCTTTTTTGCAGGATCTTCTTCAGTGTCTGATCTGATTAGACTGGTTGCTAGTTGGAAAAAATCAGCCCTTATTGAGACGTCCTCCCTCGTTAGATGCTCAACGTGTACTCGGGGTAATTTATGGTCGCTGTAAATCTCGGCTACCGTGGAGGAACGTTTACAATCGACGAAGAAGCGACTC